GTTAGAAACTTACCTTATTGTGAACCGAAGCCACGACGAGTAGTGTGGGCAGGACGTATAGCCCACGACAATATATAACCGCTATGTAAGTGCTAATGAAAAATATGTGTACCTAGTTGAGTCGTAATTTTATTATTGATATATGAACTGACGATCAACTACGTTTTATTAATAGACGAAAGAAAAAACAAAAATACACTGTATTGTGATATTCCCTTTTTCCTCTCTAGTTCGGAAAAAGATACAGTAAATGATGTGTTAAGAAAATGGATAACAACACATTCGATATCATTGCTCGGCAAAGTGTCTCGTGAATTAAGATATGTCAAGAAAAATGGATGTCGACACATTAACGAATATATTCCTGCTATCTATTTTTCTGGCGAGAAGCCTGGATTTCTGGAATAGCATATCAATGTAAAAATATCTTGTTAGAGATTATAACGTAAATGTTAAATTTTATTCCACTATATCAATATTTCTAGTATACTTTTCTAGCCAATGAGTCTATATATAGCTGGAAGTAAACTGGAAATTCCCTCTCATTAGATAATCGTGCACCGCCGACCACGCGTACTGTTCGCGACGATCGGTCACGTGATACGCGTCGCGTCTTAACTTACCCCCTTATAATATGCACTCGGACCATGTTCCGAAAAAAATTTTGTTCTTAAAATAACTGATGGCGAAACAATTAAAAATTGGAAGGATGGAGAAATATTGGATTGTTATGTTTCACTAAGATTTGGAATAAAGAGGAAAATTTTATATACTGTACATGTATTTCGATGATAGGGCATACTTAAACGATGCAAAAAACGGTTTGAAGATAAATATTCAGATAGCATTCGGGTTTGGGAGCGGGAAAGAAAATACAAGACTCGTTTATACGTTCCAATCAAATAATTTTATTTGTAATAATGTAAAATTTTAAATAATAAGTTTTAGTTTATAAATTATTCATAGATCAAAATTTTTAAACGCGCGACTTAATTTTTGGTATACTTTCGGGAAGAACCATTTCTGGTTTTTCATCATATCATACCTCAAGTAAGATAATTCAATTATCTTGACAAATGCATCTTTTTAATTGATCACGATTAACAACATCCTCGAGCTTTTTAACATCTTTATACCAACCAGTGTTAGGAAATCAGCACCACTTCCTTGGTGGGTGATATTCAATTACCGATTCCTCATTCCGAATTTTCTGTAGTTATCTTAATGCACCTATTTGGAACCGTTAGATGCTCTATATTTGCGAATCTAGCTTTATAATTAACTACAAGCTTGGAAATTCGTTCTTCGTGATTGTTTGCCATTTTTTTACGGATATATTCGATTAAAAATCATGCATGCGCATTCTTTTCGGAACGCCAATGCCAAGAAAAAATTCTTGGTCATATATGCATATCATCATTAGATGCGATAACATTCTCCGTGAGTCAATATGTACATCCGATAAATTTTTTATTAATACTCTATCTATACCACTGACTGCTTTCAGCAATGCTTTGTTTACAGTATACAATATAAAATACATATAAGGCGTAAAGACAGAATGTGTCCTACTTCGCAGACTATCTACCCACTATTTTTTTTATAATTCTTTCTTGTACATGTCGCCTCTTAGATTCAGGCTCGTCACATGCTAAAATCCTATCTTTCAATAATCCTACAACTATACTAATTACCTGCTTTATATCTTCCTTAAAATTTTCCTGATTCCCCTTAAGTGCCTTTTTCGTAAGATTTATTTGATATTCACTATTGCCTGTGCAAAAATACCTTTGGAAGTAAGTGTGATAAACCCAATCCGCACCTAATATTCACCCTTGAATGCTTCATCTGCGGTTCGTTTCTTCTTGTTCATGTGGAAGGAACTCGAGTTTTTTTATATTTTGGAGATATCTTACTTAACATTTCGTGGTTTGCCCTCAATATTACACAAAAGATCTTTCAGACCCGTTATTGCATAGTCGACTCGACCAGATGCTCTTCACCTAAAATATCCCTCTGCAACTCAATCTTGATTGATGTGTGCAAGATTGATGAAATAAATTCGCAACATGTTGCCTCAGAAAAAGAATGTATATGGCTACATATGGATAGTGGATAGCGTAATTAGATCAGAAAATGTGCAGGAGTAAGGCAGAAGATCGAAGCCCTAACAAATAGATCTACAATAATAAGATGACCCAAAATAAAGTGTAAAATAATTATACTTTATGCCTAGAGTCAGGTATATCCTTTTGATTTATAGTTATCTCAACTACAAATTTTTCTGGTTTATAAATATACTGTATGATTAATAGTAAATACCATCAAGATTGTATATAATAAGTATATGAATCAAATTTATTTATTTTTTGACAAAAGTGAACCATATTCTAATTTTATTTTAAAAATTTATCTACTAATTATTATTATTATTATTTTTTTTTTAACCCTTGCCGTCAACTCAGGTACCTTTTGTATCACCTTACTAGTCTCCTGGTGTTTCTCCGGGATACAGGGGTGATTTTTGACAGTCCTAAATACTTGTCTTAGGCCTAAGCCTCTAAGTATAGACGGTGGGGATGGAAAGTTGCTATATTCAAAATTTATCTACTAATTATTATATTTACAAAAGAATAATATACATATAATTTTTATTAAATCAAATAATTCACATATAAAAATAAATAAATAAGTTTGTCTAATAAAGAAAAAAAATCTACATGAATTATTATAACAATGTCAAATAAAAAATTGATTAAATACAATATAATTTTCAAGAAAAGAAAATCAATTAACCAAAGGAATAATAAGATAAAAAATAATATTTAAAAATTTTAAAAAAGAATTTTAGGAAAAAAAAAAAAAATATTGTATATCAAAAAAATTTATAAAAGAAAGTAAGAACAAAAAATAAAAGAAAAGAACAAAAATAAAAAAATAGAAAATAGAAAAAGAGAAAAGGAAAAAAATTCAAAAAAACAATTCAAAAATCTTCTAAAAAGAAATTTTCAAATATAAGAAGAGATAGTATAAAAATTATTTTTAATTTATAGATTTTCTTATTGTTATCTTATTATTATTATTTTTTTTTTTATTTTTAGTAGGTAAATATTATTTCTTTATTTGATTTGTATATTAAAAATATACATTGTAAAAGAAACAATATTTTTCATTTGTAAATACAGTAAGTTTAATGCTAGCTTGCCTACAGAAACCAAGTGACTAATATTAAAATAAACTTTTAAAACAATATATCTTGTCAGATGATACCAAGCAGCTATATTTACCTGCTCAGTATTGAAAGAAATAAAATAGGATTAGTTTTGGATTAGTTTAATAATACATTTAGAAAAGTTGAGATTGTTTTGAATATAGGTGTCTATGACTAAGGTAAATAGATTGACTGTTGTTATTAATTCTTGTATAAATAGAAATTTTTGTGAATTTGATTTGAAAGTTGTTTAATTGTCTTTAATTATGTTGTTAGAGGATTTGTTTTTTATTTTATATCATTTTGTAGAAAAGTGTTGGCTGTAACACATCATGGTTTTTATATGGTGTTATATAATTATATTAGAGCTTCAGTCGATACTTGTATCCAATTATTAAAGTTTGATAAAAAGAAAATGCTGTCAGTGATACCACATGCTAGCTTTATAATTTGCCATATATGGGTTATCAGTTCTAAGTCACTGTTAGGATGGAGAATGAGGTTGATTTGGTTGATAATTTGATTGGTTTCTTCTGAAGCTATTAGGCACTTAAATATATATTGTATATTTTCAGTGCAAAGTTTGTAACATAGGCAGTAGGGATCTGAGTATTGGTCTGGATATTATTGATGGAGATTTTCTCGTATAGGAAAAGTTCTTGACAAGAGCTTGATGTGAAAGGCAATTAAATTACTGTATTTGTTGTTTCATGTATTTTTCAAGTTTTTGTTAGATTTGTTAATGATTTTGATACCTTGAGAACTGTGAAAAAAGTCAAATGTTTTTAGTACTGATAAGCTTTCCGCTATTATATATGTTGTAATAATACTAATGATCTTTTTGTATCACCTGACACTACATTTTCTGAAAAATACAATGTCAGATTATTTCAGTTTATAGTATTGTTAGCCTTTGGGTTTGACTTGGGAATGGAGTAGATAAGAAGTATCATTTTCTTGAGTATTATTTTATTAATTTTCTGAATGATTAAGAAAAAATTGATTTTTGTTATTTTTCTAGGATAGTTGGAGATCATTTGAGTATTCTTTTGTTGTTTCTTATTTTAATTTCACAATTGGAAGGGTACCAATGAAAAAGTTCAAAGAGAACTTGCAGTAGGTTGCCAGGTGAGAGACTGGAATTATTTAGTTTGACTTTGAAGTTATTTACAAAAATGTATTCTCGATGGCTTTGGATATGATATAACTGAGAAAAACCAATTTTCTGAAGTGTTGAAATACTGTAGAAGGAGAATTGAAGAAAATGTTTACTAATTGAAGGATATGTTTGTTTTTTGGAGAAGTTCTTGAGATTTCTTTGATTATATTGCTTAGATGATACTTGTTAGAATTCAAAGGGTTGAAAAGGACCCATAAAGAGAATGCTTCTGAACTTGTGAAGTTTAATGTGCAAGAGCCAACACTTGAAATACCAGTTAAGCAACCATTACATTTGATGAGAATATTGTTATTATCTATATTGAAGTGTCTTTTTTTGAGATGAAGGTTTTTTTGAATATAGTAACATCTTTTGTATATTTTAACAATAGTGTTAGTATTGTGAATAAGTCAGAAGAATACTTTGTAATTGGATATCGATTAATGGGATCCCAGTAAACTGTTGTAGTTGGTGAAGTTTTTGAACCAACAGGGTTTTGATCTGTATTGAATAATTTTTGTGTAAGCTATTAGTTGGAATCAAGAGAGTTTAATCATGCTATTAAATTTCATAAGTTGATTTGTGATGTTATCTTATTATTATTATTATTTCTTTATAATATAATTTATACTAAAATATTTATTTTAATAAAAATTTCAATAAAAATTAAAAAAAACAAAATATATTAAATAGAAAATTTCTTTCATTATTGCTTTTTTTTTTTTTTTTTGAAGGAACAGACAGTCCTCACATATTATTTTTATTTATAATTTTAGACTTGTGAATTACAAAATTTATAACTCAATAATGTAATATATATATCTCTTTATCAGGAAGAGCTAAATGCCAGGCTCAATAAGAGCCCTTCCACCTAAGCTCCTTAGCACTACTCAAGAATATAAGAAAAAGAAATTCAAAACCTATATTATGCCTTGAATAGTGTCTAGCTTCCTAGAAGAATTTGAAACCTAATCATATAAAGGTACTGCAGCCACTATATACAGGTTGACCTCCAAGTCATGACTAGGATTGGCAAGC